GGTTAGTGGTAGGGTCAGGATTACAGAGGGGATAGAGGGAGTTAGTGGTAGGGTCAGGATTACAGAGGGGATAGAGGGCAGGTTAGTGGTAGGGTCAGGATTACAGAGGGGATAGAGGGCAGGTTAGTGGTAGGGTCAGGATTATCGGAGTGGGTAGACAGTACAGAGGGGATAGAGGGCAGGTTAGTGGTAGGGTCAGGATTACAGAGGGGATAGAGGGCAGGTTAGTGGTAGGGTCAGGATTACAGAGGGGATAGAGGGGCAGGTTAGTGGTAGGGTCAGGATTACAGAGGGGATAGAGGGCAGGTTAGTGGTAGGGTCAGGGATTATCGGAGTGGGTAGACAGTACAGAGGGGATAGAGGGCAGGTTAGTGGTAGGGTCAGGATTACAGAGGGGATAGAGGGCAGGTTAGTGGTAGGGTCAGGATTATCGGAGTGGGTAGACAGTACAGAGGGGATAGAGGGCAGGTTAGTGGTAGGGTCAGGATTACAGTGGGGATAGAGGGCAGGTTAGTGGTAGGGTCCAGGATTACAGAGGGGATAGAGGGCAGGTTAGTGGTAGGGTCAGGATTACAGAGGGGATAGAGGGCAGGTTAGTGGTAGGGTCAGGATTACAGAGGGGATAGAGGGCAGGTTAGTGGTAGGGTCAGGATTACAGAGGGGATAGAGGGCAGGTTAGCGGTAGGGTCAGGATTATCGGAGTGGGTAGACAGTACAGAGGGGATAGAGGGCAGGTTAGTGGTAGGGTCAGGATTACAGAGGGGATAGAGGGCAGGTTTAGTGGTAGGGTCAGGATTACAGAGGGGATAGAGGGCAGGTTAGTGGTAGGGTCAGGATTACAGAGGGGATAGAGGGCAGGTTAGTGGTAGGGTCAGGATTACAGAGGGGATAGAGGGCAGGTTAGTGGTAGGGTCAGGATTACAGAGGGGATAGAGGGCAGGTTAGTGGTAGGGTCAGGATTATCGGAGTGGGTAGACAGTACAGAGGGGATAGAGGGCAGGTTAGTGGTAGGGTCAGGATTATCGGAGTGGGTAGACAGTACAGAGGGGATAGAGGGCAGGTTAGTGGTAGGGTCAGGATTACAGTGGGGATAGAGGGCAGGTTAGTGGTAGGGTCAGGATTACAGAGGGGATAGAGGGCAGGTTAGTGGTAGGGTCAGGATTATCGGAGTGGGTATACATTACAGAGGGGATAGAGGGCAGGTTAGCGGTAGGGTCAGGATTATCGGAGTGGGTATACATTACAGAGGGGATAGAGGGCAGGTTAGTGGTAGGGTCAGGATTACAGAGGGGATAGAGGGCAGGTTAGTGGTAGGGTCAGGATTACAGAGGGGATAGAGGGCAGGTTAGTGGTAGGGTCAGGATTACAGAGGGGATAGAGGGCAGGTTAGTGGTAGGGTCAGGATTACAGAGGGGATAGAGGGCAGGTTAGCGGTAGGGTCAGGATTACAGAGGGGATAGAGGGCAGGTTAGCGGTAGGGTCAGGATTACAGAGGAGATAGAGGGTTAGTGGTAGGGTCAGGATTACAGAGGGGATAGAGGGCAGGTTAGCGGTAGGGTCAGGATTATCGGAGTGGGTATACATTACAGAGGGGATAGAGGGCAGGTTAGCGGTAGGGTCAGGATTATCGGAGTGGGTATACATTACAGAGGGGATAGAGGGCAGGTTAGGTAGGGTCAGGATTACAGAGGGGATAGAGGGCAGGTTAGTGGTAGGGTCAGGATTACAGAGGGATAGAGGCAGGTTAGTGGGTAGGGTCAAGATTACCGAGGGGTTACAGGGCAGGTTAGTGGTAGGGTCGGATTACAGATGGGATAGAGTGGCAAGGTTGCGTAGGGTCAGGATACAGAGGGGATAGAGGCGGGTTTAAAGCGGTAGGGTGGTCCTACAGAGGAGATAGAGGGTAGTGGTAGGGTCAGGATTCAGAGGGGATAAAGGGCAGGTAGCGGTAGGTCAGATAAGTGGGGATAAGGGCAGGTTAGTGGTAGGGTCAGGATTACAGTGGGGATAGAGGGCAGGTTAGCGGTAGGGTCAGGATTACAGAGGGGATAGAGGGCAGGTTAGCGGTAGGGTCAGGATTACAGAGGAGATAGAGGGTTAGTGGTAGGGTCAGGATTACAGAGGGGATAGAGGGCAGGTTAGCGGTAGGGTCAGGATTACAGTGGGGATAGAGGGCAGGTTAGTGGTAGGGTCAGGATTATCGAAGTGGGTATACAGTCCAGAGGGGATAGAGGGCAGGTTAGTGGTAGGGTCAAGGATTACACTTGGGATAGAGGGCAGGTTAGTGGTAGGGTCAGGATTACAGAGGGGGATAGAGGGCAGGTTAGTGGTAGGGTCAGGATTACAGAGGGGATAGAGGGCAGGTTAGTGGTAGGGTCAGGATTACAGAGGGGATAGAGGGCAGGTTTAGTGGTAGGGTCAGGATTACAGAGGGGATAGAGGGCAGGTTAGCGGTAGGGTCAGGATTATCGGAGTGGGTAGACAGTACAGAGGGGATAGAGGGCAGGTTAGTGGTAGGGTCAGGATTACAGTGGGGATAGAGGGCAGGTTAGTGGTAGGGTCAGGATACAGAGGGGATAGAGGGCAGGTAGTGGTAGGGTCAGGATTACAGTGGGGATAGAGGGGCAGGTTAGTGGTAGGGTCAGGATTATCGGAGTGGGTATACAGTACAGAGGGGATAGAGGGCAGGTTAGTGGTAGGGTCAGGATTACAGAGGGGATAAAGGGCAGGTTAGTGGTAGGGTCAGGATTACAGAGGGGATAGAGGGCAGGTTAGCGGTAGGGTCAGGATTACAGAGGGGATAGAGGGCAGGTTAGTGGTAGGGTCAGGATTACAGAGGGGGATAGAGGGCAGGTTAGTGGTAGGGTCAGGATTACAGAGGGGATAGAGGGCAGGTTAGTGGTAGGGTCAGGATTACAGAGGGGATAGAGGGCAGGTTAGTGGTAGGGTCAGGATTACAGAGGGGATAGAGGGCAGGTTAGCGGTAGGGTCAGGATTACAGAGGGGATAGAGGGCAGGTTAGCGGTAGGGTCAGGATTACAGAGGGGATAGAGGGCAGGTTAGCGGTAGGGTCAGGATTACAGAGGGGATAGAGGGCAGGTTAGTGGTAGGGTCAGGATTACAGTGGGGATAGAGGGCAGGTTAGTGGTAGGGTCAGGATTACAGAGGGGATAGAGGGCAGGTTAGTGGTAGGGTCAGGATTACAGAGGGGATAGAGGGCAGGTTAGCGGTAGGGTCAGGATTATCGGAGTGGGTAGACAGTACAGAGGGGATAGAGGGCAGGTTAGTGGTAGGGTCAGGATTACAGAGGGGATAGAGGGCAGGTTAGTGGTAGGGTCAGGATTACAGAGGGGATAGAGGGCAGGTTAGCGGTAGGGTCAGGATTACAGAGGGGATAGAGGGCAGGTTAGTGGTAGGGTCAGGATTACAGAGGGGATAGAGGGCAGGTTAGTGGTAGGGTCAGGATTATCGGAGTGGGTAGACAGTACAGAGGGGATAGAGGGCAGGTTAGTGGTAGGGTCAGGATTACAGAGGGGATAGAGGGCAGGTTAGTGGTAGGGTCAGGATTACAGAGGGGATAGAGGGCAGGTTAGTGGTAGGGTCAGGATTACAGAGGGGATAGAGGGCAGGTTAGTGGTAGGGTCAGGATTATCGGAGTGGGTAGACAGTACAGAGGGGATAGAGGGCAGGTTAGTGGTAGGGTCAGGATTATCGGAGTGGGTAGACAGTACAGAGGGGATAGAGGGCAGGTTAGTGGTAGGGTCAGGATTACAGAGGGGATAGAGGGCAGGTTAGCGGTAGGGTCAGGATTACAGAGGGGATAGAGGGCAGGTTAGTGGTAGGGTCAGGATTACAGACGGGATAGAGGGCAGGTTAGTGGTAGGGTCAGGATTATCGGAGTGGGTATACATTACAGAGGGGATAGAGGGCAGGTTAGTGGTAGGGTCAGGATTACAGAGGGGATAGAGGGCAGGTTAGTGGTAGGGTCAGGATTACAGAGGGGATAGAGGGCAGGTTAGTGGTAGGGTCAGGATTACAGAGGGGATAGAGGGCAGGTTAGCGGTAGGGTCAGGATTACAGTGGGGATAGAGGGCAGGTTAGTGGTAGGGTCAGGATTACAGTGGGGATAGAGGGCAGGTTAGTGGTAGGGTCAGGATTATCGGAGTGGGTATACATTACAGAGGGGATAGAGGGCAGGTTAGTGGTAGGGTCAGGATTACAGAGGGGATAGAGGGCAGGTTAGTGGTAGGGTCAGGATTACAGAGGGGATAGAGGGCAGGTTAGTGGTAGGGTCAGGATTACAGAGGGGATAGAGGGCAGGTTAGCGGTAGGGTCAGGATTACAGTGGGGATAGAGGGCAGGTTAGTGGTAGGGTCAGGATTACAGTGGGGATAGAGGGCAGGTTAGTGGTAGGGTCAGGATTATCGGAGTGGGTATACATTACAGAGGGGATAGAGGGCAGGTTAGTGGTAGGGTCAGGATTACAGAGGGGATAGAGGGTTAGTGGTAGGGTCAGGATTATCGGAGTGGGTATACATTACAGAGGGGATAGAGGGCAGGTTAGTGGTAGGGTCAGGATTACAGAGGGGATAGAGGGCAGGTTAGTGGTAGGGTCAGGATTACAGAGGGGATAGAGGGTTAGTGGTAGGGTCAGGATTATCGGAGTGGGTAGACAGTACAGAGGGGATAGAGGGCAGGTTAGTGGTAGGGTCAGGATTATCGGAGTGGGTAGACAGTACAGTGGGGATAGAGGGCAGGTTAGTGGTAGGGTCAGGATTACAGAGGGGATAGAGGGCAGGTTAGCGGTAGGGTCAGGATTACAGAGGGGATAGAGGGCAGGTTAGTGGTAGGGTCAGGATTATCGGAGTGGGTAGACAGTACAGAGGGGATAGAGGGCAGGTTAGTGGTAGGGTCAGGATTACAGAGTGGATAGAAGGCAGGTTAGCGGTAGGGTCAGGATTACAGAGGGGATAGAGGGCAGGTTAGTGGTAGGGTCAGGATTATCGGAGTGGGTAGACAGTACAGAGGGGATAGAGGGTTAGTGGTAGGGTCAGGATTATCGGAGTGGGTTGTGACCTCACCTCTTTGTGGAAGCGGTGTGAGCATTGCAACTCCTGGACTCCTCCTCCTCCTCCATTACACATGTCTTCATGGCTGTCCACATCCCTCTGGAATGGATTAAAATTACATTAGCCTTTTCCTTCTTTAAAACGTTCAATACAACATCATATTGCAAATTAGCATGAAAGTATCACTGTATTTTTATTTATATTTATTAGGGATCCCTATTAGCTCTGCCAAGGCAGAGCAGCGCTTTCTTATGGACAGACTTCTCCCCATCTTAGCTACTGTTGTATCAATATGTTTTGACCATGACAGTTTACAATCCAGGGTTACTCCAAGCAGTTTAGTCTCCTCAACTTGCTCAATTTCCACATTATTCATTACGAGATGTAGTTGAGGTTTAGGGTTTAGTGAATGATTTGTCCCACATACAATGCTTTAAGTTTTGGAAATATTTAGGACTAACTTATTCCTTGCTACCCATTCCGAAACTAACTAGAGTTCTTTGTTAAGTGTTGCAGTTATTTCAGTCGCTGTAGTAGCTGACGTGTATAGTGTTGAGTCATCCATATACATAGACACACTGGCTTTACTCAAAGCCAGTGGCATGTCATTAGTAAAGATGGAAGAAAAAGTAAGGGGCCTAGACAGCTGCCCTGGGGAATTCCTGATTCTACCTGGATTATGTTTGAGAGGCTTCCATTAAAGAACACCCTCTGTGTTCCATTAGACAAGTAACTTTTTATCCACATTATAGCAGGGGGTGTAAAGCCATAACACATACATTTTTCCAGCAGCAGACTATGATCGATTATGTCAAAAGCTGCACTGAAGTCTAACAAGACAGCCCCCACAATCTATTTTATCATACATTTCTCTCAGCCAATCATCAGTCCTTTGTATAAGTGCTGTGATGTTGAGTGTCCTTCCCTATAAGCATGCTGAAAGTCTGTTGTCTGTGAAATAGCATTGTATCTGGTCAAACACAATTTATTCCAGAAGTTTACTAAGGGTTGGTAACAGGCTGATTGGTCGGCTAATGAGCCAGTAAAGGTTGCTTTACTATTCTTGGGTAGTGGAATTACTTTTGCTTCCCTCCAGGCCGGAGGGCACACACTTTCTAGTAGGCTTAAATTGAAGATGTGGCAAATAGGAGTGGCAATATCGTCCGCTATTATCCTCAGTCATTTTCCATCCAAGTTGTCAGACACAGGTGGCTTGTCATTGTTGATAGACAACAATAATTCCACCCTCACTTTACGGATTCAAAATTACAATGCTTGTTTTTCATAATTTGGTCAGTTATACTTGGATGTGTAGTGTCAGCGTTTGTTGCTGGCATGTCATACCTAAGTTTGCTTATCTTGCCAATGAAGAAGTCATTAAAGTAGTTGGCAATATCAGTGGGTTTTGTGATGAATGAGCCTTCTGATTCAATGAATGATGGAGCCGAGTTTGCCTTTTTCCCCAAAATTTCATTTAAGGTGCTCCAAAGCTTTTTACTCTTTATATAATATATTTTTGTTTCATAGTATAGTTTATTTTTATTTAGTTTAGTCACATAATTTCTTAATTTGCAATACGTTTGCCAATCAGTTGGGCTCCCAGACTTATTTGCCATACCTTTTGCCACATCCCTCTCAACCACACCATTTTTCAATTCCTCATCAATCCAAGGGGATTTAACAGTTTTTACAGTCATTTTCTTAATGGGTGCTTATTAGTAACTGGAATAAGCAATTTCATAAATGTGTCAAGTGCAGCATCTGGTTGCTCCTCATTACACACCACAGACCAGCAAATATTCTTTACATCATCAACATAGGAATCACTAAAAACTTATTGTATGACCTCTTATACACTATATTAGGCCCAGCCTTTGGAACTTTGGTTTTCCTAGATATGGCTACTATATTGTGATCACTACATCCGATGGATTTGGATACTGCATTCAATCAAATTTCTGCAGCATTAGTAAAGATATGATCAATACATGTTGATGATTTCATTCCTGTACTGTTTGTAACTACCCTGGTAGGTTGATTGATAACCTGAACCAGGTTGCAGGCACTGGTTACAGTTTTTTCTTGAGTGGGCAGCTTGATGAGAGCCAGTCAATATTTAAATCACCCAGAAAATATACTTCTCTGTTGATATCACATATATTATCAAGCATTTCACACATATTATCCAGATACTGACTGTTAGCACTTGGTGGTCTATAGCAGCTTCCCACCAGAATGGGCTTTAGGTGAGGCAGATGAACCTGTAGCCATATTACTTCAACAGTATTTAACTTGAGATCGTCTCTAAGCTTTACAGGAATGTGGTTCTGAATATAAACCGCAACACCGCCCCCCATTGGCATTTCTGTATTTTCTGTAGATGTTATAACCATGTATTGCTACCACTGTATCAAATGTATTATCTAAGTGAGTTTCAGAGAGAGTCAGAATATGACTGTCATCTGTTACAAGCAAGTTATTGACTTCATGAACCTTGTTTCTCAGGCTGCATATGTTAATATGGGCTTTTGTTAGCACTTTTCTGGGTTGCTTGATTGTATAAATTGCTTTACTGGGAAGCTTATCAGAAGTAGACTTGCTCATGTTATTTATATTGGATCTGATAGTGCAGGGTGAGCTATACACAATGGTCTTCCTACTAGGGCACACTGCCTCAGTGCTAACAGTGTAACTCTGGTTCATGGGCTCATGATTACTGCATACAATAGCTGTAGGATCAACAGAGGTATTCAGGGCAGTTAGGGGGAAATAAATTAAGTTACTTACATTGTTTCTGCCAACACCCCTAGGATAATGTACATTTGAAGCAGCATTATGACGACTCATGGTCACAATGGTAGGGATTAACTGAGCTGGTTTTGGGTCAATGATCAGTCATTGTTTCAATGCAACCACTGGGTTTGATATGAGGTATCAAACTATCTCACAGAACAGTGCCCTGTCATTGATGGAACAGTGCCCAGTCATTGATGGATCAGACGCCTGTCATTGATGGATCAGACGCCTGTCATTGATGGAACATTGCCCAGTCATTGATGGAACATTGCCCAATCATTGATTGAACAGTGCCCTGTCATTGATGGAACAGTGTCCTGTCATTGATGGATCAGATGCCAGTCATTGATGGTTAACACTGGCCATTTGCCACCTGTCCATATATATTCAGCCCTATACATTATATATCCCTCTACTGGCTCTCTACATGGACATTACCTTCTTGTTGTGGAGCCTCATTCTCCTATTGAAGGATTCTGCCAGCTCTGGGATGGTGGTGATGCGGGTCTCTGGGATGGCTGATTTGACCCTGTTGTTTTCGTCGGAGGACACACGGCGAGCTCGGGGGTGGTTCCTTACCTCTGACCCCTTCTTCTCCAGGGATTTCATGTGGACGGGCGTAGGCGCCATGCCGTCGGCACCTGCTGCATGGAGATGACTCAGCTGCATGACGTTTAGTTGGGACTGAGGAGAGCAGAGAAGGTTTAGGGTTTGCTGCTTATGTCAGAGAGTTGGTTCAATTCACTTTGCTTCCTGGGTCAGTCATTGTGCACAGGGATAGGGTTAGGGTTAGTTCTTGTACACAGTCAGTTTATACCCATGGTGAATATAGAACACGTGTCAATATTGACATCGACTCTTCGTTCTTTAATACTGTTAATCTAGACCACTGTCTAAAAAAAGACCTCCCATTAAAAAGACCTCCCATTGCATTTCACAATGGATTCATGTTCATTAATATTGATTTCCCATCAACCAGTTGATTACCTCAGGGTGTTGACAACATGTGTGAGTAAGGTACAGTTAGGAATATATCTACTGTTCCCTGAAGGAGGGAACGCATTATAACTATGGCAACAACCAACCCTATTCACCTGAAGAAAACTAAAATCATGCCCAACAGGCCAATGGATGCTGAGCCCGCCTTCAGAAGCCCCGCCTTCCTGGCTACAATACAGGTAAACAGAACGTGCTGCAACTTGTCTATGCACACTGACTGCCCAAGCCATAGACCCCACCTCGTTCAAGGAACTGCATGTCCAAAACAACAAAACACCTGAGGTGACTTGGTAAAGCGCACACGTGCACTGCATAGCATCGACCAGAGTTATGAACCACGGCAGCCCGAGGCGCAAACCCACAGGGAAACTGTGGTAACCCTGATAAATGCGCACTCTGAGTGCTGCCACACATTAAGGCAGCCAAAGGCTTAACCCCACAGGGAAACGGTGGTAACCCAGACAAAACGCTTCCTAACATCGACCGTGGCGGCCGAAGTCCATTGACCCTATCCGTTCCAAAAAGGCTCAGAAACCAAAGGAGTCTGGGATGCCAGAACTCACACAAGGAACCGCAAGTCCAAAACAACCGGGCACCTGCTGTGACTTGATAATGCGCTTCATCAATAAACCACGGCAGCCCAAGGCTCAAACCCACAGGGAACTGTGGCAACCCGGATAAATGTGCAACACCCACTCCCTAACACCCACTCCCTAACACCCACTCCCTAACAGCCACTCCCAGATCCAGCCATCCTGCGCGCTGCCTAACACCCACTCCCAGACCCAGCCATAAGAACACTATGAGCCACACTGGGAGCAGTTACATCCAAGAGGTAAAACCTCACCACGGTATGTCCCGTGCTCTACCAGAGGACCACGGTATGTCCCGTGCTCTACCAGAGGACCACGGTATGTCCCGTGCTCTACCAGAGGACCACGGTATGTCCCGTGCTCTACCAGAGGACCACGGTATGTCCCGTGCTCTACCAGAGGACCACGGTATGTCCCGTGCTCTACCAGAGGACCACGGTATGTCCCGTGCTCTACCAGAGGACCACGGTATGTCCCGTGCTCTACCAGAGGACCACGGTATGTCCCGTGCTCTACCAGAGGACCACGGTATGTCCCGTGCTCTACCAGAGGACCACGGTATGTCCCGTGCTCTACCAGAGGACCACGGTATGTCCCGTGCTCTACCAGAGGACCACGGTATGTCCCGTGCTCTACCAGAGGACCACGGTATGTCCCGTGCTCTACTCTACCAGAGGACCACGGTATGTCCCGTGCTCTACCAGAGGACCACGGTATGTCCCGTGCTCTACCAGAGGACCACGGTATGTCCCGTGCTCTACCAGAGGACCACGGTATGTCCCGTGCTCTACCAGAGGACCACGGTATGTCCCGTGTTCTACCAGAGGACCACGGTATGTGGGGAACCCAACTCGCTGCAGCCCAGATATCACCAATCGTCATTTCCCTGAATAATGCCCAATAAGCCGCCACACTCCTAGTGGAGTGAACACGCACACCGCTAGGCAACCCTTGTCCTTTGCTGTCATATGCCAGGGAGATAGCCCCCACAATCCAATGAGAAAGATGCTGCTTACCCCTACCCCGAGCTGGATTAGTGAAACAGACAAAAAGCTGGTCACAAACGTGGATATCGTTGGTCCTATCCATATACATGCGTGGATATCGTTGGTCCTATCCATATACATGCGTGGATATCGTTGGTCCTATCCATATACATGCGTGGATATCGTTGGTCCTATCCATATACATGCGTGGATATCGTTGGTCCTATCCATATACATGCATGGATATCGTTGGTCCTATCCATATACATGCGTGGATATCGTTGGTCCTATCCATATACATGCGTAAAGCGCGCACCAGACACAGGCCACTGGAAGCAAACAGAGGAGGTGAAAAAGGGAATAGCTTGAAAGCCATCAAACCCACAGATCCCATATCTTCAGTGGATGCGCCTGGGACAATATATCCCGACCACATGGAACCCCCCATTGGTCCCCGCCTAACGGGCAGATGATCTCCGTGAACCAGGGTTGTCTGTGCCAATAGGGATACACCAAAATCAACAACAGACCCTCCTGCGTGGCAGTGTGGCACTCCACATGTTCCCTGGACTCCGCTATGACCAGCCAATCGTCCAGATAGGCCAATACTCTGATCACCAGGCACCGCACCGGTGCCAATGTTGCCTCCATCACCATAGAAAAGGAGTGGGCAATAGGGAGATGGGGAGGAAGTATAGGACGTGAAAATATGTATCCTTCAGATCTATGGATGTGAACCAATCGCTGGGACGCACCGACTGCAATAGCTGGCGATATGTGAGCATTTTGAAATTGCAAACTTGAGGATGGGATGCAACATTCCATCGCTCTTGGGAACTAAGAAGTACCGGCTGAACCAACTGCTCTGTACTTCTGACACAGGGACCACCCGAACAACCTGCTTTTGAAGGAGAGAGGAAATCTCTCAAGACAGGCGCTAGGACCTTGGGGACCACTGACGTAATGACGCCATGAAAACTGATCATGCCCACCACTGGACGGAGCTTGCTGCCAGTATTCCTACATTATGTCCTGAAGGGGCAGAGCGCCACCCTGAGGACTGGGACCACCACTGTGTGTCTGAAGGGGAGGAAGGAACTGTGCGTTCTGATACCCGGCCAACCAGTAACCGGGTTCGGGGACCTCGGCAACCAGTAACCGGGTTCGGGGACCTCGGCAACCAGTAACCGGGTTCGGGGACCTCGGCAACCAGTAACTTGCCCACATTGACCGAGCCACTTGGGAGCATGGTTGCCACAGTAAATGTTTGGGCCCCTGAGCCAAACAACCTTGTTGGCGAAACTGGCTCATCCAAATACATCCGTCTGTCGCTCTCAGGAATCACGAGAACCGGCGTGGTTAATTCAGAAGCACAGTGCTAGGATTAGCCCCCTTGTTAGCGTCATGAAAACGGTATTCACCGAATCCAAAGCCGGGGCTTCAGGCTGTGTCACGTTCGTTGAATGACGGGACAGACCAAGGCGCAGCGTGATATACGTACATGTTTATTAACTGATAAACACAACGACAAAACAATAAACCAACGATACGTGCCGTCCTAAGGTAACACACAACATACCTTACACAGAACAAGATCCCACAACCCACTAGTGCCAATAGGCTGCCTAAGTATGGTCCCCAATCAGAGACAACGAGCGACAGCTGCCTCTGATTGGGAACCACACCGGCCAACATAGAACCACACATACTAGATCGACAAACATAGAAAACACACAACAAAGAATATACACACCCTGACTCAACATTTAAGCGTCCCCTGAGTCAGGGCGTGATAGGCTGCTCCAGACTGATGAAAACCCTCCAGAGCCAATCAAAGGCCCGGAATCCGGACTCTGAACACTGCCAGAAAAACTCGGCTGGGATGACACCCCTATCAACTCCGACCACCAATGTTCCTCACAATGTCAGCCTGACTCCCAATGGAAGTTGAACACAGCCGGAGACAATGGTCACACGAGCTGGTCCAAACCAAGGCCTGCTGAGCGTGTTTCCACCCCTGGCAACAGGACAGCACCTTCGGGTCGGAGGTTCAAACTCAGCTGGTTAGCCTTTCTGAACTTACTCTTACCACTGGCAAGACAAGCAGAGCAAAAAGTAGTTCGCTGCTTGACACGTTCTTCCTTTAGGCGAGCTGAAGATCGAAGAATTTAGGAAATGGATGTGATCCCCGATATTATAGCCAGGGAGGTGTGGCTTTCGAGGGCGGGTTCGGCATCCATTGGCCCGTTGGCAGTGCTTTCAGTTTGCTTCAGGTGAATAGGATTGGTCGTTGATTCCCCACAGTATGTTATACCGAGTGACCAACTGAAAGGGAACTGACCAGTTGATTACCTCAGGGTATTGACAATTGGTGTGAGTAACTGACCACAATATCAATATCAATATCAATACTTTACAATATAAATATCAATACAATATCAATATCAATACTTTACAATATAAATATCAATACAATATCAATATCAATACAATATCAATAAAACCATGTGTTAGATGTTGATCCATATAAGAGAGTAATTTGGTCAACAGGAGGTTTAGGGTCATTATCATCATAGCTGCTTTGACTTTGCCCACAAATCTCTGATGGCAAACGTGCTTTATTGCCAGAAGTGTTACATTTTACATTTTCTGTCATTTATCAGACACTCTTATCCAGAGCGACTTACAGTAGTGATTGCATACATTTTTCGTAGTTTTTCATACTGGTCCCACATGGGATTCAAACCCACAATCATGGCATCCTTCTCTCTGTCTGTCTGTGAGTCTTTCTCTCTTGATGCAGTACCCCTCTCCTTCTCTCTCTCTGTCACTGGGCAGCTCACGGCTATGCTTCCCTTTGTAGTCTGTAATAGTTTTCAAGCCCTGCCACATCCGACGAGCGTCAGAGCCGGTGTAGTATGATTCAATCTTAGTCCTGTATTGACTCTTTGCCTGTTTGATGGTTCGTCGGAGGGCATAGCGGAATTTCTTATAAGCGTCCGGGTTAGAGTCCCGCTTCTTGAAAGCGGCAGCTCTACCCTTTAGCTCAGTG